ACTCTTGGGAAAGGAAACTTTGGGAATCGGGGAAGGAAAAGTTGGAAAATCGTGAGATGTTTTGAATCGCCTGTTTTGAGATCCCACGGTTTCTTTCCACTCTGCAGGGAAGGAATTGAACGTAGTTGTCGACTTTTGCTTTTACTAGGGATGAAATAATACATATGTGAATCGAGTACAACGACTTATGGCGTTCTTGGAATTTCAATTTTTGTTTGCTTTATGTAGAATTAGAATTAAACATTGTATAATCGTTGAATATTTTTCTGCAAGCTCCCAGACTTCGTAGAAAGAGGGCAGAGTGAACAATGAATAAAAGAAATAAAAAAAGAATAAAGAATAAAATTTTTCACAGAAGAATGGAAATAGTGAAAAAGAAATAGAGACGATAAAAAATGGACAAAGCGTCAAATTTTCAGGAAAAAGAGAAATATTGCGAATAAAAACGTGTTAAATATCCAAAAGACGGGAAATAAATAAAATACATAGAGATGGAATAAAAAGTTGCCAGATTTTCAACGAAAAATCATACTAATCCCTGGAAAAACTCTCTTTTTCACATCCCATGCAATACGTGTATCGAAATTGAATGATTTGCATCGCTTTATTTTTCAATTTTGGAAACAACCATTTGCCGCGAAAATAACGCGAGCTGTAGATTGATCGGTTTCGAAGATGCATCTTTTATTTCATCTGAACTCCATCGTCATAGTTATTCAGTTCCCTTGAATAATTCAACCCGCGGGCAAACCGAAAAAACAAACAGAGAATGTTGTCCAGCAAAACTATCGTCCCTTCATTTCTAAAACATTCGATCAACCGCAGAATTTCGATGGCGAAATAAAGAAAAATAGCCCCGCGCTCTCTCTCATCCATCTCAGCAGAAATTCTATATACCGAAACTCTCGATACTGAAACGTTGCAAAAGTTACTCAAGAGCCCACAGTTACCCGTGTCTAAGTGGGTAAATAATTTACATTAATCTCTTTAAACAGCGAAATTTACACCGCAGTCGGAGACCACGGCAGGCTGCAATTAGCATTTCTCTTCATCCGAGTCGCAGAGGAGAAAAACGAAACGCGTGGGCTCACGTTCACGACCTACCTTCACTTTCCAACTTATTGCCCTCCTTCAGCCAGCTAATTTACATACTTCTCGCGTTACACTAACACGGTACATCGTCGATGCATCCCGTTGAGCTTGAAGCATTAGCGAAAGGAGAACCGCTC